TGTTGCAGGAATCAACGTGTTTACTGGAGAACTGGAGAGCTGGAGAACTCTCGTGGCTAGCTTGGCAGGCTGGATTGCTGCCAAGGTTAGTCTGTGCTGGATTGCTGCCAATGTCTAGTCTGTGCTGGATTGCTGCCAAGCTCTAGTCTCTGTGTTAATTAGGATTAATAAATCCTTGAAGTATCTTTGTCTTGGCGTGCTTTGGTATAGGACGAGGGGGGTCAGAACTATGCTGCAGTGAACTCTTGGTTGCTAGCAGCTGAAGTTAACATTTGGGGTTGTGTGGTGCATGTTTCATGGTGAATAAGTAGTTTATACTAAATAGAGAGATTTGTGCTAGGCTTTGGGATACATGGTAATTAAGTCAATTTTCAGACTTTAGACTAAAGGTACTTTTCTAATACGGAACTGGACTTTATGGGCATTAGCACTCTGCAGATGACAGCAAATAATATAAATCCATCCATTCCCCTCTTTCCCTTGGATTAGAAGCGAAATGTTTGTAAACCATCCAAAGTTACTCTGTGACGGGTGGCCAATACATTTTATAAATAAATAAACTAAGAAAGTCCAGTTACCTTTTGGAAAAGCACTGTTGACTTGGATGATTGAGAATCTCCAGGGATTTAAGATTAGATTTATGAAAATATTTCTTGTTTCAAAAGAGTGAAATATCTTGCAAATTACACATACCAGTTATGATAAAATATGCACCACAAAAGCATTTAAACCCTGGATCCTTAATTTGATGCTTTCCACCCACCCACTTTATGGCAGTTACACTTTTTGTCCCTTAATCTCTCCTCTGTTTCAAATGAGACAGAAGCAGTCAGTAGATATTTTATAATTTAGGCTTAGCGCAATTTTGTCAGTGGATAAATGTTAGCTATCTGATCATGTCTTATAGTTGCTAGTGCTGCATATTTATATTTCAGAACTGTTTCTTGTGCTAATGGCACATCATGTTGACATTATGTTTGCATATTGTAATGAGCTTTCCTGGATTTTACCATCAATATTGGAATAGCTGATTTGCTTCTGTCATTTTATCCAACCTAGAGAAGAACAATTAAGTCCAAATGCAGTAATGATAAAATGTCAAGTTAATTATTTTTCTTCCCAAATGGCACTATTTAAATCTATAGCTTTCATTTATTTTATTTTCAAATATTCCATACTAGCTGGATATCTATGCTCTGTTACGAAGTTATACGATCGGGCTCCTCTCCTATCTTATCCCCTTCTCTCCCTCAGGCTGGCCCCATTGATCATCTCCTAGCCCCATCTTTCTCTCAGGCTTGCCTCACAGAGGCCTCTCTACCTTATCCCCTTCTCTCCCTCAGTCTAACTCCTTACTATTTTAGGTGGGGAGGGCGAGTAGAATGTCTAAACTGCCAGCCTACAGGCCAGATGAGTCACACGCTGGTCACGCCTATGCCCAAGAGGCAGTTGGACAGAGTTCTTTTCAGGTGGGGAGAGGGAGTAGAACATCTAACTCCTTAGCATCAGAGCGTGTTAATACAAGAAATACTAATGACCTGATGGTCATTTCAAAAAATCCTCTTAGTGAGCACTAGAACCCAAGAGGAACATACCAAATTTCAAGTTTGTAGCCTTTACGGTTCTGGAGATTTTGTGATGTTGCGTGAGTGGTATTTCGCTTTTATATAAAGAGATAGGTACTTACTTCTGGGAGTGTCATTTCCACATGTCCTGTTATATCATATTGGAAAGTATTTTTAATTTGCTTGTATGTTTTGTTATTTTTACTGGACACCCCCTTTTAGATAGATCAGAGTGGGACAGTGATAATTCTGGATAGCTGCAAGTTAAACATATTAATTAAACTTTCATTCTACAGCATTACTAAGTATTCTTCTTAATTTTTGTTTTGCTTGAAAAATTGCCTGTTTGATTCCTACTCAGAAAATGACGACGTGGAATTACTTAGTGGCCCAGAACAGAGTAGGAACTGGGCCACCCACATCAAAGGCTGATTTTCAAATAAATTGGCTTATTTAGCATGTGTTCTTCACTTCTGACAAATCACTGGTTTTTTTTGTTAATAATGTTTTTTCTTGCTTGTTTCTTTATTTTTTGAAGGCTGGCGGGCTGGCTGGTGTGTGTGTGGACCTGACATTATTTCCTTTGGATACAGTCAAAACTAGACTGCAGAGTCCCCAAGGATTTAAAAAGGCTGGTGGTTTCCGTGGCATTTATGCTGGCGTTCCTTCTGCTGCCATAGGATCTTTTCCAAATGGTAAGGCATTCTGTGCAACTGTCTTTCCCAGTTTTATTCCAAGCTGGTTTCCCTCTATAATATAAATAAAATAAAAATGAACCTTAACTGACCAAAGATATTTTTCCAAAAGACAAATGGACTTGCTTGTGTTTTGACCCAGGAAAGCAAGAAGCAAAGTCTTTGGCCCGGCAAAAACTCTTTTATTTACATGACTGTGAATTCCTTTCATTCACAGTCAGTAAGGCTAGCCAACAGTTTTTCAGAGGAATGTTTATCCACACGCACCTTATATCATTTGGAGTGCTGCCATATAACTATTTTCTAAATGCAGGGCAAGGCAAACTTGGCACAGAGTCTCTTATAGTCACAAACAGAACTTTCCACTCTTGAACCGACCGAATGAACGAATTGTTTCCTGCAAAAGCCTACACCCAGTTCCTTTCTTTTTTGTTTCCTATGGGAGGGGCCAATCACCTCCAAGGTGTGGCTTTACTCCTAAGTCGATCCTGCTTTTTTTAGTTGTTCTTGTCTTCTGGCAGCTCTACGCATGTGCACACTGGGAACAGGCTCCAGCTGTTCTTCTGCCTCACTGCTATCTAACTCCCTCTCTGCTTCCCCACACAGAGCCCTCGTCTGAGCTTTCCGCAACCCCCAGGACTGCCCATGTTCCTCCCCAACCACTTAACTGGCCGCCAGCAGGCCAAAACAGCTTGTTTTTTTTTCTTGAAAATGTTTTGCTTCTTATTCAAGAAGCTTCTTTAGTTCCAGCTGAATGGTGGAGAATGGAAGTATTCTAGATAGGAAGAAGGATGTTTCTCATATGGGAGCCCCTTCCCCTAATGAAAAAAAGCAACCAGGAGACCCTGAGTTCTAGTTCCACCTTAGGCATGAAAAACTGGCTTGGATGACTTTGGGCCTGTTACTCTCTCTCAGCCCAACCCACCTCACAGGTTTGTTGTTGTTGGGAAAGTAGGAGAAGGAAGGTGTATTATGTATTTTTGCTGCCCTGAATTATTTATAAACAATAATAAAGGCAGGATAAAGGTGCCTCAAATTCCGAGATAGGTGGCATATAAATCTAATAAATTAAAAAAAAATGAAAGTCAAATCAATAATGATAACATACAGTACTCCTGCTGATAGAATTGCCACATTTTAGAGAAGAAACAGTTTTATTTCACAAGTGGATGTCTGTTTTGGACAAAGTAAGGATCTCAGCCTGTTTGATATAGACACTTGCTTTTCTAACTTCCTTAAACTTAATTTTGCTTTTTAATTTCTGTGAATACAATGGTGTTATCATTGTTTCTAAGCTTTTTCTGCTTCCAATGGCGGATGCTAACATAAGTTTATAGAATCATCCTCAGGCGTCTTTTAAACTTACTAAGCTCTTCCCAACTTATTAATTTTTCTGTTTCGTTTTTTAAATCTTCTCTCTCCTTATCTTCTTTTGAAGAAGATAAGCATCTTTTGATTAGCCACAGAGGGCAACAGAGGTAGCTCTGAAACAGAATTAGCAACTGCTCCTTTTGACATGTCCACTATTTTTCTCTTGCACATTTGCACAATTCTGAACTTTGTCCTATTTTTACGGATGCAGTAAAAATCTACTTGAAGACCTGCAGAGTTACAGAAAGCCACCTTTTTAATATCAGGGGAAACATATGTTTTGGTTTTAGTTTTTGCCAGTATGAAATAACTGCTGCCAATTCATAATGCAGTCTTTCATTTTATGCTGCTTCTTTTTAGAGCATTTACACTGCTGGTGAATTTTAGAAGAAGAGAAAAAGATCTTTAGAATAACACCTGACTGAATTGAGTTGAATTACACAATTGCTTCTATATGTGCAGAAGTCCTAAAAAACACAAGAACATGAAGGAGGCCAAACGACTGGGCAGTGGTTGACTTATTCGCCACCCCTCTCAATGCCCAGCTCCCGAGGTTTTATTCCAGGTATCAGACACGGGGGGTGGAGGCGGTGGACACTCTGATGCCCATGGCCCCGGGGGCTCATCTATGCATATCCACCATTACCCCTGGTTCCCAAGGTCATACAGAAAATCCTGCGGGAGGGGGCAGACGTGATGGTGATTGCCCCACACTGGCCCCGGAGGCCTTGGTTTGCCGATCTCCAATCTCTCTCGGTGAACAGGCCCTGGAGGATCACCCAGGAGTGGATCTCCCTCAGCCAGGGATCGCTGGAGTACCCGGCCCCTCAGTGACTTCAGTAGACCACTTGGCGCTTTAGCGGAGCATCCAAGGTAATGCCACAAGGTTGTTTTGAGAATGCTGAGGTGCTAGGCTGATAACAGTTCACTCTCAGGGCATGGCGACCTTGAAACCAGGCTGGAACTGGCTGGGAGGAAGTTTGCTTCATCTCCAAAGACAACTCCCACTCCCTAATTCCTAAGCATTTTGCAGCAAAAGCATGCAAAAAGTGCCCACAAGCCTTTCTCCTCCCCCCACCACCACTTCCAACAGAATGGTTGGACATGATGATGGACCTGACAATAGTTATAGCATCCTTGGATCATGAGATCACCATTTACGATTTTCCCAGGTGGTTTCCAACAATCAAAATCAATGGGAGAAGCAGATTTGATTAACGCCCATGGGATTCAATGACTCAATAGCTGATAGATAGATAGATAGATAGATAGATAGATAGATAGATAGATAGATAGATAGATAGATAGATAGATAG